CTGAATCTGTGGTATGAGAAGGGAGAGCACGGATAACAGAGATGGCATCATTCAGTTGACTTCCTTCTTGACCTCTGGATAATGTTGGGAGTAGATTGGAGGGTTTAGGGAAATCATTAGGCAGAAATCAGTAAAACCTATTGTTATCCTACTGTGTTGGCTTTGCCCTGTAACACTGTACAGTTGGTTTAAAAAATTGGCTGTAAGGCTCTTGCTTTGCCCTGTGTCTGCTGTTCTTATTAAAGTGGCAGTTTCTCTCCATCTGGCGCATCCTTTCTTGCTGTATTCAATGGTGTGGACTCCTTATCCAGAGCACTGTGGATTAATTGAGTGAATTCCTTGGGGCATGCCACCTTCCACTCCTGACTGTTTCATCAAAAGTAGCTGGCTTTGGACTGTTCCCCTTTTCTAAAGTCTTAAATGCAGAACCTCAGCAGAAGTTTGGCTTGCTTTACACATACTTGAAGCTGGGGGTTTTCTTCCCCCTCATCTCCTAGCTGCACTATTTAATATGCTGAGTCTTTCTGGTTTTGTCTTTCAATTTGTTCTTTCAGCCTTACTCCATTTCGGTTCTTGCAGAGAGTACTGTCAGTGTTCGGGTTGTGGCCAGGTGGGATGCTTTCTCTCTCTCTCTCTCTCTCTCTCTCTCTCTCTCTGTCATCCCTGGTTTTTCTGGTATGAGGAGAGGCTGAAGTCACTTGGGTTGTTCAGCCTGGAGAAGAGGAGACTGAGAGGAGATCTCATGGGGGTCTAGAACTTCCTCCCAAGGGGAAGAGGAGGGGCAGGCACTGATCTCCTCTCTGGCCACCAACGAATGCCAGGAGCAGAGGGAATGGCAGGAACATGTGGCAGGGGAGGGTGAGGTTGGCCATGAGGAAAAGGTTCTTGAGGCAGAGGGTGGTGGAGCACTGGAACAGGCTCCCCAGGGAGGTGCTCATGGCACCAAGCCTGACAAGATTCCAGCAGCATTTGGCCAAGGCCCTCAGGGACATGGTCTGAATCTTGCCACTGTCCTATACTGGGGCAAGAGTTGGACTTGATGACCCTTGTGGGTCTCTTCCAACTCGCAGCATTCCATGGTCCTGTGGTTCTTCTGGACTTCATTGGAATTCCAGGAAATCTTTCCTTGGGTAAATTTTGGAGGAGGATGAAGAAGAATTATGTCTTGAAAACTACAGGTATCCTTTCCTTTGAAAATAGTACTGTTTTCTGGTCTTTATTAAGTGTTTTCCCTGTGTTGTACCATCTTTCTTATGTTCTTTACATTTAATTATTTCTTACACATCTTTTTCTTCCATTCTTGCCCCAGTTCTCCACTCTTGACTTTTAAAAAATTGCTCTAATAGGTAAATACAGCTATTTCTTTAGGTATTTGGTAGGCATGTCACTATCCAATTGTTTTGGTTTTTTAGGTTAAATTTTTTACTCTGATGCTGTTGTCTTCCTCTTGAAATGTTCTCCAAACCACAACCTCCTTGAATTTTGCAGCCATTCCTATTTCTCATGAGTTCCTTTTTCTGACAGAATTAGCTGTGAACACCCAAAGCTGTCTCTCCTTATTTGCTCTTTTTGTTGCTGCTGAACAATTATGCTTTTAAAATATCTTAATCCTTCTGTGGGTATAAATAACTTCCAAGGGTTCCCAGTTTCCATAATATCTGATTTTCCAGTGTGTGACTATTGCCCCCCTTGTCTTTCTTGCTAAACTGTTTGCCTTGATACAGAATCCATTTTGGTGTGAGTTTCTGAAAATAATCTGGGATTTCTCAAACTAAGCTCAGCTGTTTCTTAATAAAAATCATTCTTATTCTGAAGCAGCTGAAAAATGTTTTTCTTTTGCCAAATAGGAGGAATGGGAAGCATTTCCTACCTAGGATCCCTGCTAACTGTGGACTACAACTCTGATGAACTATTAAACTGACCTGTTTATGGAATAAAACAAATCTGAGGGTTCCTTAGGTAGTTGTACTTCAGCATTAAGTTAAGGGTTTGAGATATTAAAATACAGTATAAGTAATAGTAATTTGAAATATTCTACAAAAAGACAGAATCTTTTCTATTTTCTTTTGTTGAAAATAATTTTTCTTCCCTATTTCTACAGTTCTGTAGTGTTTATATCTGTAACAAGTACTCCAATTGCAGATAAGTCAGCTCAGAGCTGGGTTTCAATGGTAACTTCAGAGTTCATTTTATTTACAAATAACTGTGGTTTTGAAGAGAATTCATTAAACTGATGCATTTAGAGTAAACTTTTACTTGAATAGAGTTTAACTAAAATCTCACGGGCCAAAGTTTTTTCAGACCTCTGATCTTGATCTTAGATACTTGACAAATTTTTGAAATTTTCATGTTAAGAAATATTTGAAGAAGAGTGAAAGAGTGGGAAGAAACTTTTTCTACCTGCAGACGATCTAGCTGTCTGAAGCAAAATAGCACAAACAGTATTTGATTTATTTCTGCCCCTACAAGTTCTCTCTAATATATATGTGTAGCATTTGTGCTAAGTAAATGGCTCTGCAATAGAGCTATTACGTATGCAAAAAAAAAAAATCCCAAATAAGATTGTGTCTGCTCTTCATAAGTTCAGGACAGTGAAGGAATTTTGATTAGCTCAGTGCAGCAGCTTTTCAAAGTTCAGAAGAAAATGGAGCTTCTGACAGAAAATGGGAGATTTGATTTATATGTCAGTGGATGCTGTGATTCACAAGGGAGAAAATACAAGTAGCTTTCATGACCTTACATCTCAAAACCCATCTGTGGGCGCTCTGGAATGTGGACTGTGCAGTATAAAGGCTGGGAATTTGAGTCAAAAGTATCTGTTGACATACAAGGTCCTAAAGTGCTGTAGAGCATATCTATGAAGACCTTACTGGCAGAAGCTCTTACAAATAAAAAGAAACATTAAAAGTAAAAAAGAAAAAAGACAAGTAAAATGGCTATGAAGTTATGTTAGCAGCACCTCCTATGTTAGCAATACTTCAGACGCTGTGCCTGGTTCTCCACTCATACTGTTGTAGAAATGCAATTTCTTCCATTTCAAGAGCTTTTTCAAAAATGTATTCCTTCATTTTTTCTAAGTTCTTCATACTTACTCTCATCACTTTCTTCATATTCTAGCATCCCACTTCAGTAGTTCTGATTAACCTTTTTTTTTTATCTCTGCTGTCTTCTTGGAGGTGGGAATCTGGTGTGTAATAAAACAGTCAAAATCCCCCAGTTGTGCAGAGTCTTGTGGTGTTCTGAGTGCTGATGTATTCTGAAGCTTGTGTCTCTGTTTTCAAGAACTGGTTGAGTAACTAATCACCTTTGGATAATCTGGGTGTTTTAGCTGTGTTGCAGAATAGTATGTGATCTGGCTGGAGAAATGTGGTCATTGTATCTGATTTCAGCTGTCCTCTTGTCACCCCCTGTTGTGTTCTAGCAAGCATCTGGCGGTACCTTGGTCTTGTTGCAGAAACATTGAACAGATAATCAAAGTGCTCTTGAACCTCCTTTAGGAAAGGAGAGCAAAGCCAGGGTGGTGTCCTCAGGCGTGGTGTGCTCTGCCTAGACTAGACTCAAACCTTTGAATCCTTCGTGCTCATTCTGTGTGAGGGCTGTGACTGGATCCGTTACCTCGTCTCTGCATAGACAGGTTCAGCGTGTGAGTGGTCTGTGGAAGGGTCCTGCGCTGGGATCACCACTGTAGAGGATGGGTTGGTTTTGCTGGCCTCCTGACAGAGGTTGCTGTTGTGCACAGGAACAGTTCAGCCAAGGTGGCAGAGGTCTGCTGAGAGGTGCTTGTATTTCAAAGCCTCACAGTTCTCACGTCCTGTTAGGTGAACTCCAGATAAACAAGAGCAAGCGGTTTGACCTGTGCCCAGAACATTTGAATAACTAAATAGGAGGAGAAAATAAGATCTGTGTGGACCAGTCTGACCTTGCAGGCTAGAGCTCTGAAATCTACCTGTGCTTTCAGTGCATACTGGTGGCTGTAAACCCCAAGAGAAAACGTTCCTTCACGGGAACTTATTGATTAACTCTGTAAGATTCAGTTTTAACTTCAGTTATGTTTGTATCCCTTCAGTTATTTGAAAGGGTTTAAAATAGCCTAGCTTCCAGAGGCACTTGCATTTAAATGGGGAAAAAAAACCCAAAAAACCTCTAGAAACTGGAACCGTGCTCACTTTGTTGTTTGTGTACATCTTTCCTCCCATTTCCAAGAATTGCATCTCATACCCAATTTCTTTTGCAGTTTTGTTCAGTGGAGGGACTGCTGTATGTCAGCCATGCTAAAGGGCAAGTGATGGAGGCAAGTACTAGTTTATATATTCAGTTATCTAATATTGTTTTTGCCAGTTTCTCCTTTTGAACTGTTTTGTTTCCTAGTGCTGCTGTGAAATAATTGCACAGATCATGGACTATATTAGCATGTTCTGGGGTGTAATAATGTTATAATATCTGCTCAATGTGACTGTATTTGGAATTGTGAATTTTGTCCCTGATGCATTGTACTCTCGTACGAATAAGAAATGTATGTTTTTGAACTTAATGCTATAAAGTACTCCATTTCCTCCTTCAAGAAGAATATAAAGGCTGTTATAAGTGGGGAAAAAACAAAGCATAAAACTTAAATCTTAATGGAAGTAAATGTGCTAATTAGTTCTGCTGATTCTCAGTTCTTCACATTTAGGAGTACTTTTTTCCCCAAAAGTAGATACTAGGACAAATAAGTAGTTTTAAGGATCCTCATGTCAGATATACAATTTGAAAAGCTCTTTCTAGGCTCACAACAGATTCGTCATACGGAAATATGAATAGACGGATGACCATAAAGCTCCCTATAGGAGCCTCTTAAAAAGAAGGGTCTGTAATTTCAGAAATCAGAATACACAGCGGTAGGAGTGTTTGTGAGCTAACTGCAGGCTGATTTGCTTCAGGTTGGTTTGTAAATTGACACAGGGCTAATTTAAGCAGGTTAATGGCTTCCAGCAGATAATGCATGGAACTCTTACTGGTGTTCTTTCAGACTGGCAGTATTACCAGTGGTAATCTGGATAGAAAGAGTACAGGAGATAAAAAAGATACTGGTTAAAGAGTACATTGGGCATCTTTGATGTGAACTATAGTTCTTCAGTGAGTCCTAACTGAAAAATGAATACTGAGGGAATTAGAATGAAAAAGGCAGTTATGGGTCAACTGTCAGGTTTGTATTGTATACGACAAATAATTGAGAGAGACTCTTGCTTTTTAGCCAGTGAGGTTTGTTCACGGAACCATTTAGCCTGTTGGATGAAAGGGAAAATCTAGTTTTGCCTTTTTTTCCCCAAAACTTAAATTGAGTGGAGACCAGCAATTCAGCTTTCTGGAAAACCAATTACATGAGAAAAAATAAATATTAAGAAGGAGTAAGCTCAAAAGTCAAAGCATAATACTAGTCATAAAGGCACTTGAAGTCATTTAAGAAAATGTTAAGTATGTAAAAATAAAAGGTTGGTTACACTGTTTTGGTTTTTTTTTCAATTCTTCCACACAATTTCTACGTGAATATGGGTAAACATATTTTTCTGCGATGTAGTTTATTACTTTGCATTTAATGTACTTATTGATTAAACTGGCCAATATATTTAGACTCAATGCTTATAACATGTTCAAAGTACTGAGATAAAATCCTTTATGAGTCCAGTGTTTTGCTTTCTCTAAGTACTGAATTTCATCTTGCCTCCAGCTGATAGCAACGACATTTGAAAATAAGTGTGAGGCAGCTCTTCTGATATTTTTGGATGCTAATTTGGAAAGCATTTTGGAATATCTGTTTAACTCATTGTGTCAGGTTTCAGATGCACAAAATTGAAAGTGCTCTAATTGTAACCTCAGTGCATTATGTTTCTGCAGCTCTCTTAAGATAAAAATGAATGCTCTCAAATCCCAAACATATGTTGCATTTCAAATAAAGTGGTTGTTTTGGGTTTTTTTTAAAGCACAGACTGCTTTCTGCCAAGATTGAGGTAGACCTCTGTGATCTGATTTCTGTATTTATAGAAGCCTACTCAGAGCTTTCTCCTGCAAGAAAACAATGATCAGCTTCTGAGCATGTGATCTCATGGTGCTGATGTGAAACTCTTTGAGATACTGTGCCCTTCCTTCCTTCCTTCCTTCCTTCCTTCCTCATTCCTTTGCTGTACTTCTCCATTAGCGTGTTGCTATAGAAGTGCTCAGCTGCAGTTCGTGTAACCAGCTCCTGCCTGAGCCCAGCTGCTAGCTGAGGTTGAGCTCTCTTGGAGAAAATCTGCCTGTTTCCCCTGTGCTAGAGACTGAGCTATACGTACATGGCGCTGCTCCCTTTCAATTTAATCTTAATCTATTTTTAAAAATGCATTCTTGTTTTCTCTGAGAACTATGGACAAGACTATGCCAATTGAAGCCATTTCACTTACCTGTTCTTTCTTGAAGACAGATTTTTCCCATCTAGTTTCCAGGGCCATCAGCAGATGTTGGCAGTAATGAGCCATTTCTTACTATTTGGAAATGCATAACTGATTTGGAAGTGTTCTGTTTTCTTGCATAGATTAACTACTGTGAAGTTAGGCATTCTACAGGAAAATCAGGTAGGCAGAGCAGATATTACATTTGAAGCACAAAATACCAGATCTTTGTCAAAGAACAAAATTAATTCTGCCAAAGAGACTAACATGCTCTTCAGAAGTTTAACCTCGTGTTCTGTTAGATATTTTTACAGACTTGTTCATAATAAACAAAACCCCATTGGTTTCTCCTTGCTTCTCTCCCTTTTGAACAGCTTTTTTTACCTTTCTTGCTTTCCTGTACCCTTTGTGCTGGGCTTCTTCCCCTAGGCGATGAATGACTTGTCTCATACAAGCTTTGGCTTCTGCATACAGCCCAGTTGCAACTAATACCACATGGAGGGATGCCTGGAAAACTGATATATTTTGTTTTGTTAATGGCATGTTGTGCGCATTGGATTTTTTAACCCACTACTTTCTGCATGGATGTATAATAATGACTCTTTTGTTTAACATTAGATAAGCATGAGATCACCGTGGCACAGCTGCATGTGTAGTCACTCTTGAAGCAATTGCACACCTAATTGGCTGACAATCTTGGCATTTTTAAAACAAACACCAGCCTTTTAAAGACAGGGGACGTATTTATGTATGAATAGTTAAAATAAACCTGTTGGGTGTCATCAATGGAGCCCTCTGGCACTGAACAGTTGTGTGATGACCCTGATCCTGGAGGCAAATCACAAGATCAAGAGACCAAAAAACAACATGAATCAGAGCAAAAATTATCCAAAATAACCCATAATGCTTTGGAGAACATTAATGTGATTGGTCAAGGCCTGAAGCACCTTTTCCAGCATCAGCGCAGGAGGTCCTCAGTTTCTCCGCATGATGTTCAGCAAGCTCAGGCTGATCTGGAGCCTGACACGGATTTGGAAAGCCAAAGCGTCTGTGCTGAAATTGATGGTGTCTCCACCCACCCCACAGCTCTGAATCGGGTGCTTCAGCAGATCAGAGTGCCACCTAAAATGAAGAGAGGGACAAGCCTGCACAGCAGGCGGGGCAAGGCAGATGCCCTGAAGGGAAGCCCGCAGATCAACAGGAGGTCTGCCCAAGATACTCAGTCAGGTCGGCCCAGATCGTCATCTACTACAGATGCTCCCACAAACTTGTCCGTGATGGAGGTTGCTTCTTCTGTCTATGTAGGTGGAGAGGAGGCCACAGCAGCAGCAGTAAGTTACTCAGCTTTACCTTTGGTCTTTATCAACTCCTTGTATGTTTTCTTAAGCCTTTTGAGTCTTGTTTTTAAGAGCAAGTTTCTTTCAGCAAACCTAGTGCTACTGTGTTCAAAAGCTGCTTCAGTGGTGATGCAAAGAGCTTAAAAGATGCAAGCATTAGTCATTTTCTCACTTGGTAGGTGGCTTATTTTATATGTATTTGATCAGTGAAATGAGAGGTACTTTTGAAGCACGTTAGGTTGGTTGGATGGCACACCACAGTCAAACAAGGAGTGATGGGAAGAGCAGCAGCCAGAGTAGTCCCCCTTGGCAGATGTTATCTAGTTCCTGCACCAAAACCTTGCGTTTATCTAGATGGCTTTTTTCTTCCCCTCTTGTTTTATCACATATTTTATAGAAGTGAGGAATTCCAGTTTGAGTGAATGGTGCTCTTGAGAGGCTCTGGCAACGCTGGCTGCAGCCTGCGACTGCACTGCAATGTGAGGTTGACTGAATCTGGTTTAGATCAGCCTGGCTACTGTGCTGATATATGATTGCTGCTGTCTCTTCTAGTTTGTCTAGCCTATGTGGAAAAAGTGTCACCGAAATGACAGTCTCTGTTCTGTGACATGTTCTTGCAAAGCTATATATATCAGCTTATTGATGATACCAAGAAGTAGTGATCAATTTAGTTGAAGCACTTGTGGTTTTGAAAAACTAGATTTCTGATTTAACTTTAGCTATAACCTATATTTTCCTAAAATTCTTTGCAGGCTTGTTCATTGGAGGACAAACCCTTTGATAAAGATAGGAAGCATTCTGAAACTGATTTCTGTTTCATATGCTCTAAAAGATGGTCTGACCATGACTCTTGGTCCAAGACAAACAATCCTGCCAGTGTTTGGTGCTGTTGAGATAGCATGGCCCTGAAGCTTACATAGATTTTTCGTTATGGAAATTTTTTCTCATATACTACAGTTTTTGATGTTGGCTGGGTGACAGTGGATTGGGGCTGAATAAGATCTCATCAGTCATCCAGAGATTGCCTCACCTTGCCTCTGCAGAAGATTGTTTCCTTGTTGTACATTGTTTTCCTTGCCTTGAAGCCTACCTTGAAATACTCCAAGTGAAAACCTTTTCAGACTATTTGACAGTATAATATACTTTCAATGTATTTTCCTGATAGTTATCCGGAAATTAGTGTATCTTGTATTTATAGATGGTAATGACAAAGTATTGACAAAAAAATCACTGTATCATTCTAAGGCAATGTATAAAGTTTCCTCTTGGGAGAAGCATTGAAGGAGTCTGCCTGGAGCTGTATCTGAGGCTGTTGTTTTTTACCAGTAGTTAAAAGAATAGAAATAGTAGTAAAGTAGTTGGAAAAAGTGTACACTTTCCTAGGACGGGTGAGTTTTGCAATTGAGCTGTATCAGTTGGGCCATTAAAAGGCCTCAAGAAGAGGGTTTTTTGTTTTGTTGGTTTGGATTTTTTTTTCCCCTCCCTTCGCCATGCTTTATGTGTGAACGCTGCAAAGTTTTGGAGACACACGACTTAATTTCTTGTTTATTCTGCAAAGCCCTGTGAAGAAGGTCCAGACTCAGTGAGGTGGCGAGTTCCCTGGATAATTGGGTCAGACTGAAGTGTTTAGTGCATCGTCACTGCTGCTTACAAAGGCAGTAGAGCTGCCTGATTAGTGTGTTGATATAATTTAGAAGAGGGTCTCTTACTGTACAAACAAAAGCATAATAAAATCTCTTCTGTATCTTTACAGCACTAGTTCATGTGAAGAGCAGGGTTAAGTCTGCAACAGCTGTCAGAATTTATCAAGGGGTTGGATAGTCCCTTTCAGGTAGATGTGGAGAACTGTAGTACTGTTTTACCTTTGCTTGTCAATACGTTGATGTTGTAAGCCTTAACTCATGTTTGTATGGTTCTCCAAAATAATGAGTACTGGATGAGCCTGAGCATGTGTGATGCTGAGATCCTGTGCTCCCAGTAGGAATTAAGGGCATTGAGTACTCTGTGGCATAAGGAAGAGTAAATTCTTAATAATCCTCTATGCACAGAATATTTTTAGTTTGCAGTATTGTTCCATTCTCTGTTCTCTCAATTTATTGTTGAAATAGAAGGGCAAAATGTTATCCTAAAACTACAGAGTGGATTTGTTCAAACACCTCGTTTACATATATTTGCATGTGTTATAATCTTGCTGCATGCTGTCAGGCTTTGTATAGAAACTGAGAAATGAGATTGTTATAGCATGGAAAATAATGTAATAATTAAAGTCTTACTGAGGTACTTCACTTGGTCTTGTTTTTCAAGCAGTCTAAATTTAAATATTTTTGCATAAATCTTTTCTTGTAGCAGCAGCCCACTGAGATGAGAAATCAGGATTGTGGTGATTTGCAAATGATGGAGCCTACGTGGGTCTCATTTTGTTTTACTGTACTTTCAGAGCTTTTTCTGAGGTAATGAGTTATATGCAAAGACATGTTCAAACAGAACGATATTCCGGTCCCAGAGATACAAAAGTAGCAGTACATTGGTGAGAAATTGTGTACGCATAAGCTTTCATCAGTGCCATGAAGGTAATGATAGTGTCCAACCACTGCATGGCATCGCAGCCAGTGCCTCTGAAGTTAGTTCTGGTGATGGTTACCTGAAAGCTGATGTTTGCTTTCATAAAGAAATTGGGATTTCTGAATAATGTCCCCTTCCTTTCCCTCTTCCCAGGAAAATGTGTGGGAATGAACAATCAACAATAAAGACAAGTGTTATGCTGAAGTTTTACCATAATTTTAGCAGGAGTAAAAAATGCATTAACCACACCTGCAGTTTGGAGTGGCCGCCTCGCAGCAGGGACGGTGCCGTGGCCTGGGTAGGTCTTTCCCTTGGGACACCGGAGAGGTGCTTGGTGTGTCCATTTAATCTCCTCCCTGCTCCCCCACCCACGTCACTTGTTATCTCTTCCTGTTTGACACTTGAAACATTACTGGTGTGCTATGCCTGGATAGTAAATGTACTTCAACCAGTCCTTTTCTTTAGGTTAGATGAGCAATGTGCAGAGCAGAAGTGTGGCACACAGAGCCAGTAGGTGATCAAAAAAGTAACAGTGGGATATGGGGAGAATAAAGTCGGGATTACCTTAAAGAAAACCAGTAAAATAACGGAATGGAAAAATGGAGAAAATCACACTCTCTTTAATTGAAAGAAGAATAAAAGACGTGGCCACTTCTACTAGAATGACTGGCATTTGTATAGACTTCCGCACTGGAATAATGAAGCACTTTGATGTTGTTAGGGTTTTATGGAAAAAATACAAAGTCCATCTTATTGAAATAGAAATCATTACAAATGCACAACACCTTGAGGTTTTTTTTACCACTGAGATTCGTACATGGTTTGCTGTCATCTGGACTTGGACACCAAACATTGGTGTTAGAGCAGGGTGGTAGTGAGGTCAGTTTGTTCATTCAGGGTTTCTCTACAGTGAATTGCTTTGGAATATTTTGTGGAAGCCCTTGACTGACACCTTCTGGTATCACTAAGAAGGCAGACCAACCTGAATTAATTTAGTAGCAAATTGTTCAGTGAATTTGCAGCTTTTTGCCTCCATAGACCCAAACATTTCCAGGTTGTGATTTGCTTGCCTCAGGGTTACAGGAATGATAGGAAAACATATTTGCTGTCCTGCAGCGAGATCCCCATAGGGCAGCTTTCCAAGGCAGCACTCACTTCACTTCTGCTGCGTCCTGATGGGACTTCCCGTGTCCTCATCCTCTTTCCAGTTTTGTTGATCAGTTTTCATAAGTATTTCATATATCTTTGGTTTTTGCTTAACAGCTTAAATCTATATTGTGCTACTGTCCACATTTTAAAAAATGACTACATATGCTTCTAGAATAACAATTTCCAGTCTTTAGTTTGCGGACTCCTCAGTATTTCTCACTGATGGTGTTGACCCCATGGGTATCAAAAACCCCATGATTTTCTAACAGTGCTTTTCTTAGTTACTTCTAATGACTCTTTTCAAGCAGTTGCACTGGTCTACAAGCTACATATTAACATAAACAAGGTAACATTCAATTGTGCCGCCCTTTCAGTATATGTGGCAGAGTTGTGGAAGCATGAACAGTTTCCGTGCAACTGTAAATAGTCTTTTAAAGCAGTAATTTATTTGCCAGAAACATTTTTCACAAATTCTTTTGTCCTAAATACCATGCAATACACCTGGGACAACCACCTGTGAAAAGACAAAAGATGGAAAGTTTTTTTGGTTGGTTGGGGTTTTTTATAGCATTAAAACTGCTTGGAAAGTCTGCTATAGGTATAGACGATAAATCTTAGATCTATAAAAGATCACTTAGGCTTTAACCCATTTTCCAAAAGAGCAAGCAATCTTTTTAACATCTTTTTTGACTTATGTACGTGGTAAACATTTTTAAAATTTTTTCATAAATTATCCTGAGTAAAATATTTTGAAGCTTTGGCCATAAAGGGCTGGTTTTTATATTGAAAATACTGTATGTCATGTAAATAGATCCGGTTAGTCACAAGCCCTTCTGGAAATAATATTTGTGATTTTACTTCCTGTAACTGCAGCTGAGTCATGTTAGAACAGCACTAATGTTGCCGGTTACTATAAAGAAAGAGTTTGTACTCATTTGGGAGGGTAAAGTAGGAGTTACCTGTATCCTGACAGCGAGGTGTAGAAGAACCTGGATGGACTGGGGTATGAGGAGCATTTCAGAACAACAGTGGTTTATTCTCTCTATCAAAACTGGTGCTGCAAACATGTGGAGCTACAGATCCAGGGTTCCATCAGATGTGAATGGACAGCTGTGTGCTGCGTGTGAGTAATGCAGCTGCAGCCCTGGTGACACGGGCACTGTTCTCCTCCCCAGCAGAAAGGCGAATCCGATGTCGATGCTTTGTACAGGGATAGGGTTGTGTTGTTTGCATCTTGCAACAAGATAAGATACTGGCAGGTCACTGTAATGGCTTAATTGCAG